TCTTCTTCTTGTTCTTCTTCCTCTTCTTCTTTTCTTCTTGTTGTTCTTCCTCTTTTTCTTCTTGTTCTTCTTCATCTTCTTCTTCTTCTTCTTCTTCTTCTTCTTCTTCTGCTTTCTCTACTTCTTCCTCTTCTTCTTCTTTTCTTCTTGTTGTTCTTCCTCTTCTTCTTCTTGTTCTTCTTCTTCTTTTCTTCTTGTTGTTTTTCCTCTTCTTCTTCTTGTTCTTCTTCCTCTTCTTCTTTTCTTCTTGTTGTTCTTCCTCTTCTTCTTCTTGTTCTTCTTCGTCTTCTTCTTCTTCTTCTTCTTCTTCTTCTTCTGCTTTCTCTACTTCTTCCTCTTCTTCTTTTCTTCTTGTTGTTCTTCCTCTTCTTCTTCTTGTTCTTCTTCTTCTTTTCTTCTTAATGTTCTTCCTCTTCTTCTTCTTTTCTTCTTGTTGTTCTTCCTCTTCTTCTTCTTGTTCTTCTTTTCTTCTTGTTGTTCTTCCTCTTCTTCTTCTTGTTCTTCTTCATCTTCTTCTTCTTTTCTTCTTGTTGTTCTTCCTCTTCTTCATCTTCTTCTTCTTTTCTTCTTGTTGTTCTTCCTCTTCTTCTTCTTGTTCTTCTTCATCTTCTTCTTCTTCTTCTTCTTCTTCTTCTGCTTTCTCTACTTCTTCCTCTTCTTCTTTTCTTCTTGTTGTTCTTCCTCTTCTTCTTCTTGTTCTTCTTCTTCTTCTTTTCTTCTTAATGTTCTTCCTCTTCTTCTTCTTTTCTTCTTGTTGTTCTTCCTCTTCTTATTCTTGTTCTTCTTCATCTTCTTCTTCTTCTTCTTCTTCTGCTTTCTCTACTTCTTCCTCTTCTTCTTCTTTTCTTCTTGTTGTTCTTCCTCTTCTTCTTCTTCTTCTTGTTCTTCTTTTTCTTCTTCTTTCTCTACTTCTTCCTCTTCTTCTTCTTTTCTTCTTGTTGTTCTTCCTCTTCTTCTTCTTGTTCTTCTTCTTCTTTTCTACTTGTTGTTCTTCCTCTTCTTCTTCTTGTTCTTCTTCCTCTTCTTCTTTTCTTCTTGTTGTTCTTCCTCTTCTTCTTCTTGTTCTTCTTCATCTTCTTCTTCTTCTTCTTCTTCTTCTTCTTCTGCTTTCTCTACTTCTTCCTCTTCTTCTTTTCTTCTTGTTGTTCTTCCTCTTCTTCTTCTTGTTCTTCTTCTTCTTTTCTTCTTAATGTTCTTCCTCTTCTTCTTCTTGTTCTTCTTCTTCTTTTCTTCTTGTTGTTCTTCCTCTTCTTCTTCTTGTTCTTCTTCCTCTTCTTCTTTTCTTCTTGTTGTTCTTCCTCTTCTTCTTCTTGTTCTTCTTCATCTTCTTCTTCTTCTTCTTCTTCTTCTTCTGCTTTCTCTACTTCTTCCTCTTCTTCTTTGCTTCTTGTTGTTCTTCCTCTTCTTCTTCTTGTTCTTCTTCTTCTTTTCTTCTTAATGTTCTTCCTCTTCTTCTTCTTTTCTTCTTGTTGTTCTTCCTCTTCTTCTTCTTGTTCTTCTTCATCTTCTTCATCTTCTTCTTCTTCTGCTTTCTCTACTTCTTCCTCTTCTTCTTCTTTTCTTCTTGTTGTTCTTCCTCTTCTTCTTCTTTTCTTCTTGTTGTTCTTCTTCTTCTTCTTCTTGTTCTTCTTCTTCTTTTCTTCTTGTTGTTCTTCCTCTTCTTCTTCTTGTTCTTCTTCCTCTTCTTCTTTTCTTCTTGTTGTTCTTCCTCTTCTTCTTCTTGTTCTTCTTCATCTTCTTCTTCTTCTTCTTCTTCTTCTTCTGCTTTCTCTACTTCTTCCTCTTCTTCTTTTCTTCTTGTTGTTCTTCCTCTTCTTCTTCTTGTTCTTCTTCTTCTTTTCTTCTTAATGTTCTTCCTCTTCTTCTTCTTTTCTTCTTGTTGTTCTTCCTCTTCTTCTTCTTGTTCTTCTTCATCTTCTTCTTCTTCTTCTTCTTCTTCTGCTTTCTCTACTTCTTCCTCTTCTTCTTCTTTTCTTCTTGTTGTTCTTCCTCTTCTTCTTCTTCTTGTTCTTCTTTTTCTTCTTCTTTTTCTTTTTCTTTTCTTCTAAGCCTTGGGCCTTGGATAGTGGAGTTTCTAATCCAGGCTTTCTCGTGTCGCGCCGTAGCCTCGCAGCTGTGACATTATAAATTCTTCCCTGTTAATCGATGCGTTCTTTGGTTGGGTTGTACACGTCCGCCTGACGTTTGCGTTCTTTTCTACATTCTCCCCACCTACAACAAAAGGGTGTGCCATTTTTTAGCTTCGGTCCTTTAGGAGGGGTGGTTCTGTCATTTTTGACGTCGATAACTCTCCGTTGACAACTCCGTTGAGTTTTGCCGTTGATAACTCTCAGTGCTTCCCAGAAATATTTTCGATTCGTTGCAGCGGGTAATAATGCGTGGGGAAATGTGCCATGTCATTTAGAAAGTTGTAAACCAGTAAAACTGGGGAAAATATTTCCCCACGGGTAATAAATATTTTCTCCAGCCAGTAATAATGTTTTCCGATGCTTTTCAATCTTCTCTTTCATGACGTCAGTGGCCTAAAACCCATTTGTAAGATGCGGTCTTTGGGCATTCGTAGGACATGTCTCGGTCTTGGCAGTGTTTTTATCTCGATTTTTGTTTGTCTGCTGGTTCGTTTTGTTAGCCCTTTTGTTTCTCCTCCCCTCCATTCATAAAAACCGTCGTTTTGCCGAGACTAATGATTATTGCTAGTTCTAAAATTGTTTCAACTCGTTCTAAAGGGAGAGATGAGTTCAGTAGAGACGTTGCAACAACCTTATGTGGCTTTAATCATGCGGATTGGCTTGGCAAATTTGAATAAATCTGACGAACAAATATAATTTTGAACTTTCTTGTGTTTTTTACTAAATGCTTTTTTTGCTGGAACTAAAATTTCAATTTCGCAACGTTAAATTTTCGGGGAAACTTACGCTGTATAAAGTTTAAAAGTTCACTACACAAGCCTTGAAATAGCGAGAGAGCCAAATGAGTTTTTATTTTCACTTGGCATGCCAATATGCTTGTCCACCAATTGAACAACCGCCCCCCCCCATTTCAATTCGGCTACCTTTCTTCGGACATAGAGGACAAAATTTAACGAAAAGACTTATGAAGTTCAAATAGTCTGTTTATGTGCAATTATTGTGCAATGGTTGACCGACTGGCGTTTGGTTTTTCTACTGTTTATACATCTGTATTTGCTCAATTGCACCCCTGCAGGTGTACTTTTGTTTCAATGTGTGTGCAGGTGTAATCGCACGGATGAGCCAGTGTGTGCGGCGCCCTGTGACGACTCCATCGAGTGCTCCAATGGCTTCGACGAGTCCCCCCACATAGGCTGTGTGGAAGTGCTGGACTGTGGGAGTGCAGTGGCTCTCACCACTTCTGTGCCCCAGGAAATTCTCAGCCCAGATTACCCGAATGGATATGATAACGACAAGACTTGCGAGTGGACAGTCACTTCAGCCGGTAAGCATCCACGCTTCAACATACTCGCTCACACTGAGTTTTTTACACAGCTTGGAAACCTCGAATATTGAATTTTCAAAAAACTAGAATGTGTTCAGTGACTCAAGTTTCTGAAAACAGTTATTGTTCCAACCACTCTTAAACAAGTGGCTAGAATTATTGCGTAGGGTGAGTTTTAACGCAAGATCTGGTACCCAACAAAAAACTCACGTAGTGTCCACGTTGTGTGGTAACATATAAAAGCACTTTCAATTATAAATCGAATTTTTTTGGTTTTTTTTATTGATGACTGAGCCTGACGAAACAGTTTGCGCTACTAACACACCAACCAGCTACTCTTGTTTATGTATTAAATGTTTAAAAAAATAAAACGAAATTTGAAATTTTTTAAATTTGAAAAGATCCCCCCACTCGCCATATAAAGCACAGAGTGATAGATTTCGCTCCTAGTAACAAATCAATTATGACAAAAGAGCTTCCTTCAACCAATTTGGAACGATTTTTAAGACGGATCAAATCTCCGCTTACGCGTGAATAGCGCGCAATGTATTGCGTGGTAATGGTCCCAAGTTGGCCAAAATGGCAATCTTTAAGCCCCCAGAACTTTACAAATAATGATCACAGGTAAATTATCTTTTCAAATTTAAGCCCGGGACAATACCTTTTGAATAATTAAAAATATTCCGTCAAAATCATAGACAAAACGTTATACATGTGTTTAGTGGATGTAGCTTGATGAGGAATCCGCACCTCCTTGTTTACGGAATCCACTATTTGTTAGCAGAATCTGCCTTTTTTGCGGAATCCAGTAACAAATTACCGAATGCACTTAGACTTACAATTTTTGCTTGTTGAGGATTCTACTGCATATCTTATATGCCGACAAAATCTACGTTACGATGTATATGTACGAGACGATGGCAAGTCAAACTTTAATTGGAAATGTTCGTATATCAGGGCAAAGACCTGAATGTTCCGAGTGTCTCTTAATTCACATCTAGCCAGCATCGATTCATTTTGGAATGATTTTGTTGTGCGGGATAAGTCATAAATAGTTCGCGTTACGCTCTCAGCATTATGAATTAACTCTTCAAAGCGCACATAATTTAGTCCAGAACATGGCAAATTTGGCAACTTTCAAACCCCAGAACTTTACAAAAAATAATCGGAGGTGAAATATCTTTTTACATTTGAACTCAAGAAGTCAATATCTTCATGGAGTATAAAAAAATTTTGTTGAAAATAATTATTTCGATCGGTGGAAATTGACTGAATAAAAAAACCACGCCGAACATAGATATTCCGTTTTCTTCTAAAGTCGGAACAATAAGTTTAGAGGCTTGTCTCGTGATGTATAAGGGCCTTTGAGTTGAGTTTTTGTTCCGAATTTTGTAACGAAAATAACCGAATATTTGTGCTCAGAGTGTTTTTTTTAAAGAAAAATTTCGGCTTTTTAACTGGCTATTTTTAACGCTAATGTTGTGTTGAGCTTAAATTTGAAAAGATATTTCACCTGTGATCACTTTTTGTCAAATTAGGGGGGTTTAAAGATAGCCATTTAGACTAATTTGGGACAATTAACGCGCGATATATTTCGCACTACTAACGCGTAAGAGTAATTTGGGACAATTAACGCGCGATATATTTCGCACTACTAACGCGTAAGAGGAGAATTAATCCGTCTTAGAAATTGTTCCAAATTGGTTAAATGAAGCTTATTTGCCATAATTGATTTGTTACTAGGAGCTAAATTTATCATTTTGTACTTTAAATGGCGTGTTGGAGGATGATTTTTGCAAAAAATCTCAAATTAAAAAAAAATCGTTTCATTTTATTACATTTAATTTTTTCATGTTATTACTGCTCCATAGACCTTAAAAACCAGTCGGAACATCCAGAGCTTCGCAAAAAAATGGAAACGCTTTCCGCAAAAATCTGGCCGATGTCTTGTAGGGAATTGAACATGGTATTTGACAAACTGTCAATTTTTGAAAAGCATCGAACCTTTTTGTTATTTTTCCAGCTGGAACTAAAATCTCTGTCACTTTCAACCACATGGAAGTGGAAATAGACCAGGGAGAGTGCAGGGACTACCTCAACTTCAGAGACGGGGGCGGACCCGGAGACCCCATGATCAAAGTGGACGGCACTGGACGAGTGTGCGGCGACCAGACATCACCCACTGGCTTCGACACCACCGCCAACGAACTCTTCATTCGCTTCGTCACTGACAGGTCCTATGGCTGGCCTGGATTCAACCTGACAGTCACTTCCAGCCCAGTTACAAAAAAGCGAGCAAGGAGAGACATCTCAGCTCGCACTCAGAAAACACTGGAGCGGAAGTTTCGAGAGAAGTCGGCTCGAAAGAGGCGCACAGCATCTGCCGACTACGATCCCGCAAATTATGGGGATGACATCAATTACGACGTCAACTTCTGGGAAAACTATGACACTTGGTACAATTCCTACGACCCCTACGATCATTATGATGACAATATGGCGCCTTACGACTGGATTGAGGCGTATGAAAAATCTAACAAGCCGGACTATTCGGACTTCCGCTCCTTTGCTCTGTTCACGCAGAACGAAGTGAAGTTTTTCGGAACTCAAGCGGTGGATTTCATAGCGCAGTGCACGTTCGACGGAAGAGTGTGCAGCTATGATAGTTTTCAGACTTACCAGAACCCGAAGTATGGCAATTGTTTCCTGTTCAACACAATCTTCGAGCAGAGTGTCATGTCAGACGGAAGTTTCCAGGGCATCCGCAGCACCTCTAGGACTGGGCAGGAGTACGGACTGAAAGTGACTCTTTTCATTGACGAGGAAGAGTACATTGGTGTCCTTAGCCAGAATGTTGGCGCCCAGGTAACTCATGACTCAAATCTGTTTTTCTTCGATTCTACCTATTTCGCCCCGACACGGCTTAGAGTTCAAATCAGTCGCGATAGTCTGGAAATTAGGCGAAAGTAGAGGAATTGGCCTTTACAATTTTGAGCCAAGTATTGTTCTGAAAAAATCTGCCGACATTGCGTACTGATTTAATCTGAAAAGCGGGTTTTGAAAATCCATGTTTTGGTCAAAAGTTTTCAAAAGAGATCAAAGAAATCTTAAAACGATTAAGGTGCAGAAAATTTGATTAAGAATTTCTATATTAGTTGTTCTAGAGAGCTTGGAATAAAAATTCGGTCGACCTTTAAAGAAATTTCACGTTACTAACAAGTTCCACGTCGCTCTCCAATGTGGGCCCTTGTTTTAAATTTAGGTGCTTCTGACCAGCCCTAACGCGGTGCCCCTCCCCGAATCGGAGGGCATCCAACTGGCAGTGGGCTACAACACTCGGGTTGCCATGCGACAGGAGCAGATCCAACGGAGGGGCGGCAACTACGGCACGTGCCACGCCAGCTGGCCCACAGATGCGATCGACTTCTCAGACAAGTTCCTGGACACGTGGCCCTTCTACAGCCAGAAGATATGCGAAGTGTACTGCGTGCAGACTTACATCTACGACAGATGCGACTGCACCGATCACTACCTCGGTGAGCTCAAAACAAATAAAAGCTCTTCCTCCAACACCCCCCCCCCCCCCCCCCCCCCCCCCCCCCCAATGCTTGTCCCCCCACCTGTGATTTTTTTATAAGTAATTTTTTGTTCACATTTCCGATTGTTACAACTGAGGCCACGTTTTTTCATGGCATCCAATTTGCCGATCTGTTTTTAAATTTTCTCGACGAGCTCCTTTGGCACCAGTTTTTATAAAACAACGAGAGCGCCAAAACTGCATATCTTTGCTGAAATCGCTTCATAAGTTCCCAAAAAATGGTTTTTATCTTGACCAAAATTCGAATTGGTTGAATAAAATTAATCAAAAAATTTTCGACTGAATTGGGTGTGTTTTTGATCCATGCAATTAGCCGTTTTAGTTTTTAAAATTATATATCCGTCTCTTATTGAAGAGCTTATGTTTCTATTAAACTAGAGGACTTGTGTCATAAATTCGATAGTGTATAATTTTGTTTCAATAACAGTGACTATTTTGCAGAGGGCTTCAACCAAAACAGAGACGATGGGGACAATGCCATGTGCAGCATGTGGAATGTTACACAGCGCGATTGTGTGCGGGACATCTACAGCCAGTACAGGAGCAGCAACCTCACCTGTCCCTGCTACTCCCAGTGCGACTCAGACGTCTACCAGTACGCCTCCAGCTCCACCGAGTGGCCGTCGCCTCAGTTCACACCTTATTTGGTGCAGGTGTTACGTAAGAACAGCGAGAGTGAGGTAATCCAGCAGTACCTGTGGGATCTTCTCGGAGACAGCTCCAATGGCGCCATGCTGTCCGACACGAGAGAACTCGCCAAGGAGCTTCGCAAACAGTTCCTCCGAGTCGAAGTGTTTTTCGAGGAGTTGAACTTCCAACTGCTGAAAGAGAGTCCCAGCTACACTATGACCAACTTGATGTCGGATTTTGGCGGCAACATCGGTCTGTGGATCGGGTGGAGCGTGTTGACTTTCCTGGAGATTGCGGTGCTCACAATTAACTTGCTCAAGATTCTTCTATTCGGAAAAGCTTGCTGAATTTGTCCCAAAAACTGCGCATCGATTATATATATTTTTTGCTTAAACCAAAAAAAATAATCAATTGTACATATTGGGGTTTTAGTCGATGCTCTCAGTTTGTCCGGATTACTGCAATTCGAACTGAAATGGTATTTTTCTAAATTCTGAGTTATATTTTTATAGTTTTTTGTGTACTAACTGAAACTGAACATTTATTGCAGTGCGACAATTTCAAGCACCCCACCTGCGTATCTGACTGTAAATTCTTTCACTTAACAGATTATTTAGATGCTTGATTTGAAAAAAAAAACAATGATCCGGCAGTTTTTTGAGCCATAAAGAATAGGGTTGTGATTGAATCTTTAAGTGAAACTGATGGCAAGGCTGTGTGCCAACGTGTTTCATATCACCAGCAGTATATGACGAAATGTATGTTATTTTTATCATATCAAGTCTTGTCTCGTTTTTCGTTGTATAAAACACTATTTGTACTGAGATGATATGCTAGCAAGTGATTGAATTTTTGGACAACTGAGGCGATAATTGAAATCACAGAAGTAGTTGATTGCATTGGAACACTTAATAAATGTGAAAATAGTCACACAAATTAGTTTAATTGCTCTGCTTCAGTCCTTTCGTGCTGTGATTTCGATTATCCGCTCAGTACTCATAAAAATAAAATGTCACTTTTGTCTGATAGACAAGTATAGAAATATATGCAAGAAGATTATTCATGAGCGAGAAAAACCATAAGCTGCAGAATGATTAATATTAACTAGTAGACAATTCACATTATGATAGTCTGAAAAGCTAGTGGTGAAAATTTACTGCCCTATTTTTTCGAATGATTGAGCAGGGGTTCAGGAACTTAAACGACAAGCAAATTAGACGATCGGAAAATAACGGAATTTGCACGCAAGTTATTGTCTAAATTCCGTTATTTTCTGATCGTCTAATTTTCTTGTCGTCTAAGTTCCTAAACCCCTGCTTAATCATTCGAAAAAATAGAGCAGTAAAGTTTCACAAGTAGCTTTTCAGACTATCATAATGTGTCAAAAGTTTTCTGCGGCGCAGGCAAATGTTTCAAAAACAGGCCTAAAAATGTCGTTGTCAAGAGGTATCAAGAGACAACTATAAAATTGCCTTTTGATATATCAATCTGTTTGTAGTTTTTTGCCACTAAATTTGTGTGACAAAAAGTACTTGAAACTATAATAAGTTCGTCGCATGATCTAAACTACGAAGAGCTTCGCATTAAAAGCATATCATAGCTTTAAATCCTGTATTTTGTACTGAGGAAAGAAAAACAATTGGTTACCAATCAAGCGTGCCTCCAAGAGATGAAAAAACACAAACTTAGAAAATTTAGGCTGAGTAGTTTCTGCTAACGCCGCCGACTTGTCATACATTATTATGGCGCCAAACTGTTGGTTTAGTGAAAAAAATTATAATATAAAAGATTGAGCTTCGCTGATAGTTGTTTTTTTGTCAAGTTTGACAAAAAACGAACAAAAAATAAATTGACTTTCGAAGGAACTGACCAAACTTGAGCTTTAAACGTTCAATTTTTCAAAAAATGTCTACTTTTGATGGTTTTTTGTAGTCGGTTTTAATGCTGCCAAAAATTAATATGTCGCAAGATAGATCCAATATTTTTGTTAAATTCTTGGGGTTTAAAAGTCACCAATTTCATACAATTAACGCGCGGTTTTTTGAGCTATCAACACGTAATCGGCAAAAAAATTGATGAAAATTGTTGGATAAGGTTCTATTTAGTTATATTTTGGTCTTCTTGATGCCAAACCAAAAACTACAAGCATGTCATTTGCCCAACGTAGTGGTAAAAATTTCAACAATATGGACATAAATTTCGAAAGTTTTCTTGCTCTCTTTAAAAATTTCTCCTTGTTTCAAAGTCAAAAAGTATTTCATAGACTTCACAAGGCAGTCTAAACAATAAACACTTCGTCCTGGGATTTAAGAAATTAGAAGACAAGCAAATTAGACGATCAGAAATGAACGGAATTTAGATAAAAACTTGCGTCAAACTGCGTGAAATTTGTTTACAGACTTAAATTAACTTTTGGCTGAATAAATACTGGTTTTCCTTAAATTCCGATTCTTTACGGTCGTCTAATTTGCTTGTGGTCTAATTTACTAGGCCTCAATCAAGCACGGGTTGTTTTTTTTAACATATTGGTCACCGATGACTGACATAACACACTATTGTCTCAATAGTTTACTTAAGGTTAAGAATCAACAAATAGAACTCTTTTCGATCCAAATCTTATTCACCCGTCAATATTGGCATTTGCTTTTACTAAAAGGGCCTCAAACGTCAGAATCATATTTCAGCTGACCTTTCAATAGAACATATAAAGTTAGCTTTTTAAACTTTTTAAATACTGCAATGATTTTGTTTATTTTTTCATTGTTGGATACCTGGCATTATTTTCGTGCCATTTTATTGGATATTAAAATAAATCATGCCAATTGGACGGGTTGTCTAAAAAGCGGACAAAAACACACTGTTTATTACACTCCTTATTAGAACATTTGCAAATAAAAATTTTGATAAGCATCCGCATTCAGTAAAAAGAGAAAATAATCGATTATATTACAATTATAATTGCACTTTTATCAAAATTACAATTAATTTTCAGCGCAAAATTTAGATGTTTTAACGATTTATAATCCATTATAATGAAAACATTTTTTTTGTGCCGTTATAATAATATAAACGTTCCAAAAATCTTTTATAATCTCTTATAATCTATTATAATTTCGCATAAACTCTTATAATCAATTAAAATCTATTTTAATAGATTATGGTTTTTTTCGTCAAAAATCTCTAAAAATAAGATGTCTTGTCACTTTTTGGTTCATCTGAACACAAGTTTTACTACGAAACATAAGTTTCATAGAGATCCCTTCATATTAGTTGAAAGAATCCCGCGGTAGGTGATAAAAACTCTTTTATAGAAGTCATGAAACTAAAACAGTGTGCTGATATTTTGGTGTTCAAAAAAACTCAAAATGTACATCATTAAAAAAGTATAATCAAGAGGAAATGAAAAAAAAACATAATAAATTTGAATTGATTTGAAAACTGCTAAAACAATTTTCCCATTTTTCTCATGAGCCAACGTCTACAAAAAGCATAAAATATAAACAATTCACGTGGAAGGTCGAAGACAAAATGGGCAAACAAAAGGGGTTATAAATAATTATAATCAATTATAAAAGATTGTTTCTGCAAAACAAATAAGTTAGAAATTCGGATTAAAATAATCGATTATAATCGATTCTAATGTTTTATAAATGATTATATTTGATTTCAAAAAGAGAAATTCTAATCGATCAGTAATTGATTAAAATCAATTTTTTTCTCAATTTTTGTAATACTGGTACTAAAATCATATTATTATCAGTTATTAACGCTTGAAACTGGATGCGGGCAATGGAGAAAAAATCTGAAAATTGATATCGTTTTGAGACAAAAAAAACTCAGAAATACGGATCGAGAAGTACGGACGACCCAAGATACTGACTAGGATTAGCGGGACTAATCAATTAGTGGTTCAACGGTTCTTCTAGACGCGGACTAGAGTCATATAATCCGTTAGAAAAGATATAAGCTAATAGGAAATAAAATGCCCCCAGCTAGTGGTATATAACAAACAAGTTTTCAGCTACTTATACCCTCATGTTCAAAACAATTACTCTCAAACCTTTGTATCGCGAAGCTTTTATTTCATTGGAGATGAGTTTTCACATGAAAAAGTTTCTTGAATTTGCAACCCTATAAAAAATTGCATGCGGGGTTAAAAAATAAAAAAAAACAATAGGACCTTCATAATAAAGCCTAACTTAGCCATTTTAATTAACTTTCAACCATTTTCTTTTGATACTACATGTAAAGACGGCTGAGATTTTAGAACAAAAAATGTAGACGTTATTTTAAATCTAAATACAATCGATCAAGTTTTTAGAATTGAAACTTGTTATTATCAAACATACTGTAGATCCGAAAGAAGTGGAAACTTTTCAAATGCGAAACTAGACAAAAACAAAAAAGAAATGAAACAAAGGTATATGGTCTAAAATTTTTTCAGTCATCAGTATTTTGTTTGCTTCTGTCTGATTTTTTGGGTTTTGGGGGCTTATTCCATATTTGACAATGATCAGACTCATTTGAAAAGTTTTTATCTCGAGATATCAACGAGATTGAACTAGATTTTCCTTTCCTGGGAGATAATTGACAAAATTTGGTGTATTATTTGAAAAGTTTTACTGCCCCAAGCTCAAGTTCGAACAAACATTCAACTAACAAATACACATTTTTCAAAAAAAAAAGTTTTGTGGGTTCAAAAATAAGCGTTGGGGATATTTAGTGATGGCAATCTATTTTTCTGTTAAAGATATTAATTTTTAATTAGGATATTGTTTTCTTTCATTTAATAATTAATACTTAGTAATCATTTAGTAGGTATATTACATTGAATGTGGAGGGAACTTTGTCATAAAAATTATCTTTTTTTGTTTACTTAATCAAAATTTTCAATTGAGTTTAATCCCGGTATCTGAATTAAGTCGTATCATTCAAATTTTTCGTTGTGGTTTAGTTGCTATGGTTTGACACATAATGAAATTGGATCTTTAAATATTCGGACAAAAAAAATCGGGAAGATAAGGAAGGAATGTTAGTGCATGGGTGGTTTCTTTTTTGCAGAGAATTTTCAGTAAAATTTAGGACAAAGTTTTTGTTATCTGAAAGATATTGATGACCTGATATCAAACTTAGAAAAAAATTTCATTGTGATTTCAAATGCATTGAGATTTTAAAACTGTTAATGAGATGGAAAGTTTTCAATTTCCATTAATGTGTAGGCGTCAACATTATCCCAATCAGATTTAATTTAATATTAAATTGAGGCCAGCTAATTTATTTAAGTTTTGCGCATGCAGAGGCAATATTTATTGCTTTGGAAAGACATTTTGTGTAGAACAAATAGAAGAATTTTAAAAACAGTGGATTTTTTATTATTTTTCGTAAATTCATCCTCTTTTTACCAAAACTTAGTTTGATAACTCCAAGGTTCCCAGGGTAGTTTGAATGTTCATTGCCTCCAGCCGATACAATCCTTCTTGTTTTCCTTTCTTCCACAATTGAATTGGTTTGTTTGAAATTTGAAACAATTCGGGTAATAAGCTACTAATTTTATTGATTGTATTTATAAGCAATGATAACCAGTGCAAACATTTTAAGAGATAGGGATGGCGCTGTTTTTTAAAAAGTATAACAAGTTACAGTATGGTGTAATTAACTCTCAGTGATGGCCATTTATGGCTATGAGTATACTGAGGATAAAAGGGATACGTTAGTGTGGCACCTCCTTGTGTGGTGTAGTCTTTTGCGGTGGGTTCCGCAGTAATCGGATCTACCCCCGGTGTATCCTGGGGATTTGATCTGAGCTTTTGGGCTGTCGAGTGGGTATTTGGAAATTCTATTGCCTAAGCGACGTTTTGGACCACGTGCTTCCATTATTTTACCGACGGTTCAACGAACGGGGCCTTATATGCCAACGCCAAACGACGCATTGCCCAGTGCTTAAAGGCGTAAGTTGGAATCTTGGTGGTCACTCAACATTTTTGCATTGCGCTTGCCATGTTTGGATCCGGCCTAGAAAGCCACCAGACTAGTGACATTAGTAGTCTCACAAGTTTTCGGACAGAGACGACTATTGTCACAACTTGCTGTGTTAGTGGAGACCAGGAGGGGGGGGGACTGTAATCTACAGAATCCCCTGATGATTGTTAAAAATTTTTGGGAAAATTGGCTTCCCGAAGATGCCATGAATGGTAATCGCCAAAATGCTTTAGCACTGTGGCTCCTATGATGTAATCATAGGAAGGGTTTTTACCCGGTGATGTTTAGAAAGCTCGGATTCATAAAGTGGGTAGCTGGGCAACTCGCTACCCTTCAAGGATAGTGCTTCTTGGTGAAACTAACTCTCAGTGATGGCCATTTATGGCTGTGAGTATACTGAGGATAGCAAGGAACGGATGAATAGATGTCGTGAAAATAAATTTAAAACCAAAATTGAGGGTCGCCATTGTATCTTCCTTTCTCCCAATGCCACCCCTCCCTCTCCCAGCTCCCGGCACTCTTCAGATGATAACTGAGATACTCCGTGAAAAAAACTCACATAAAAATTTTTTGCAGCTAATGCTTCTGAAGAATTCTAGTTTTAGATATTAGCAATTTTAATTGACATTTATCCGGCCAAAACAACATTAAAACTCGTATTGAACATTTATACAAAATACAGATCGATTATGAACTAAGTCATGATGAAAAATGCATAATTAGTCATCAACGTGATCAAATTTTGATAAGACAGCATCGCGAGCTTCTTTTTGTCTCTCTGAAATAGCGATGGCGGATGTTGAAGGCCGAACGAACTTGACCATGAGAAAGGGATCTTTTTCTATTTGAGTGTCCGGTGACTCATCCGCGCATTTCGAAACATCAAACAGACTTCTAGCTTTTGGATCTGCATATGAACTCGACTGACAAAGGTTTAATTCGAGGTGTTTCATTTTGTCGTATTTGAAACCGAAGACACAGTTTTGAGTCGAGGAACTGCTAGACATACGGCTTCGGTTTTTGGGTAAGTTCTGAGATTTGGAGCTGCCTGCTAAGCTGACTTGATCGTCTTGAGTCACGAACAAATGCCGCGTTGAGTTCTGATTGGTCAATTGATCGTCGACGTTGTCGTCGTCGTTGTCGTCGTCTGAGCCGTGGTCTGCACTCATAGAACTGTTTGAGCGACTGTTCGCAGACTCACTGTCTTCTTGGTCGTCTAGTGGGGCGGGGGATGGGGAAGGGGACTTGTAATTGTTGCGATGTCTGTCAACTATTTCCGACCTCACGTTTCGTCTCAAACTGAAGCGTCGGCTCATGATTGGAGAGAAGCTTGGAGCTACCTAAGCAACAACTTCAATGTTTTTCATTGCTTCAAATCACTATATATAGATAAGGGAAAAACTCTGAAAAAAAAGAGCAATGTTAGCAGTTGGGTATCTAGTTTTTTTTCGCAAAAGGACCGGAATTACGAGGCCAAACTGTGCACAGGCGCACAATTTGGTGTCTCTATGTTCCTTGATTCCAGAGACAAGTCTTTAAACACGTTCCCAAATGTATGTGGATTCCACTTACAAAATTTCCGTGGATTCCTCGTACAAATACTTGTAACGTTAGTTTTGTTGCGGACTCCACAAATTTTGTTGTGGATTCTGCAAATTTGCTTATTTTTGGAGCGATTTTGAGCAAAACGGTGTTTTAGCTATTTTTTCAATGGAATCAAAAACAGCAAAGAAGATCAAAGAAAAAAAGCAATGTTACGGATTCCGCAACAATTCGAAAAATGCCCAGTTTGGCCTCCTTATTCGAATTTTTAAAGTGTTTTGTTTTTAAAAACGTCAGTTTTTTTTCTTTTTCTTAGGTCAACCAAACTGACTTCTTGATAAACTTGATTTTTTGGGTCAACCAAATTCAGTCCCTACTTTAACTTGAGTCACTTTTGGCACTTTTGATTTAAAATTTATGCCCAAATTTTTTTGGCGCATAACTCGCCTCAAAATTAGTTAATACTGGCGCCCAAGGAGTCTTTGTCTTTGTAGAACAAAAATGCCATGTTGTTTAATCTAAAATGCCAATCGGGCCAAACTCCTGATTTACAGGACACTCCCTTAAATCAGCTCCTAAATGTTAGCTTCTTGCGTGAAAATTCAAAACATGTCCGCAAACAGACAGTGAGTAGGAGCTTTGTAGTCGGGTGTGAGTTTTATTTTTGTTCCGATTATTTGAAAAATAGGACAAATTTTTTGATTTTTATGAGCGAGCAGGCTTAGTGAGCGAGCAGGCTTACAAAAGTTTATTTAAATAGTTTAGAAGCTTACAATTGCTAGATTTAGTTTTTCTTAAGTAAAGTTAGTTTTTTGAGTATTTCAGCGCCTTTTTGGAAACAAAAAACTCACCAAAATTTCAAAAAACCAAAAAAGAGAATTGTTATTTTTCTGGTCATTTTTCTACAGAAAAAATGTTTTACATTTTGCTTATTTTACTATGATTTTTGAATATTCCTAAGTTTTAGTTTTTCGTTCAGATCCTTTTATCACCACGCAGAAAAAACTATTATAACGACTGAAAAAAAAACTTTTTGTTGTATTTGTCAAGACTGTGGTCGGAACATTCTGTGCTACTTGCATTGTAATTGGCTCTCCTTGTTCGGTCGTTTGAGTTTAGCTTTATTGCACAAATTCAAATTATTGAATTTTTATGTAGCGCTCTGCATCCTTGTCTTTTAAAAACCGAAAAAAAAAATCTTTTTAATCAATTTTGTTTTGTTTTTCAATTCTCGAAAACAACTCTGGCCAGTTAAAAACATTACTAATGTTCTGAGCAGGGATGAATTTTGGGGGTGGTGGCGTTTGTCCCTTCTCCTCAGGGGTTTGACGCCCTTACCAATCAAAAGCCCCCCACCCCTTGAACTATATGATGTCATCCATTTTTGGCAACTAGCCCTAAAAGTTGTCCAAAGAAGCCTTCGGTGCCAATATGTATTAATTTTGAAGGGGAGCGCGCGCTGAAAAAACGAAATTTTTTGGTCAAAAAATTGAAAAAGGGCCTGAAAACGCCTTTTTGGCCGGTTTTGATTTAAAATTTGCCTGCAGCGCAAAAAATGGGTCAAACCGATTTTTAGGGTGTTCTAGGAGCACTCGGAAATTTAGTTATGATCGAACAAACAATATTTTTAATGTGAGATGAAGAAAACTTTGTATCGAAAACTATTCAATAATTGAAAAACAAGCTATTCAGGATCAATTGTTTTTTAGCAATTACTGAATACAACAGAAACAATTTGAATGTGTAGCGACAAATGCAAAACCTTCAATCCTCGACGTTTGTTTCGATTCAATTGGCGATTGGCATATGCGTTCCGCATTGTCTTCTGAAATTAAAAAATGACGACAAAAGCTTATTTCAAAAACTTATTGTTTGTCTCCTGGTGTTTTCATTAGAAAAGAGTTTGCTCCTAATGAATAGAATACGATGTTTGTCTTTTCCAAAGTATGTTAATTTTTGACAAATGAGCCGCACCAGTTTTCTACTGTGTGCATAAATGTGTAAAAACTGAGTTTGTGCATAATTGTGTAAAGTTTGAAGATGGGAAGAACGTCCTCTTCAGGTGTGTCCTATTTTTTTTGTTTTTTTTTAAAGAACGCAAATTAATGAGCTACAAATACTCATCCGAATGGGTCAAATGAAATATCATAAAAGAGCCCCTGCAGCCGTGATTCGAGCAAAATAATTAAAACAAATATTCTCTTTTCGCGAAAACTGGGTTAAAAAAATTAGCTTCTAGTACAATTCCGAGTAAGTAAAGCTAGCAAGTAGCGATTTTTATATGAAATCAATTATTTATATGTTTAACACTTTGGAAAAACTTAGTATAACTAAAGGAGAAGATGTTGTTTCTGAAGACTCATCTAGCAGTTCCCGGCACTTAAAAATTGATATATTCCCAAAGAAAGTTTAAGAAAACTTGAAAGTTTGTTTCATTTGTTTTGTTCTTAATTTCTGAAAAAGAAAGCATGGTCAAAAATACAATATTAGTAATATGATAGTTTATTATGTCTTTCAGTCTTTTAAACTTTTAGATATTTTTTCCAAATCAGAATTAGTTCTGAACATTCTGAGCTAAACTCACAGCAAACGCCTCATTTTGTTATAATTGACCTTTGTTTCACAGGTGAAACCCATTTGTACCAAGGTTCATTTGTACCAAAATGAAAACTCTGTCCCATTTGTACCAAAATTATTCAACTCGATTTCTGATTGGTCGAATAGTGAGCCAAAGAATTATTACATTAATTTTCTAATGTTCGAACAGAAGAAAACTAAACAGCAGAATAGTGACCGCCGCAGTCGCGCCAACGTGTTGTGAGCTTGCCAACTGAGGGTAGGAATCTATAAGAAAATTAGAGCCAGTTATCGCCCACCTGCAACCTTAAACCAAGAGCTTAAAATAGTCGGCTTAGTAGTCTTTGGCCTATTGATGATCTTTGGCACTTACGCGATTGATATTTTATTTTGGTACAAATGGAACTGATTTATCATTTTGGTACTTGTGAATACCCACCGTTTTACAAACAGCCCTAAACTCTGGGGAGGATTCTCATGCTTGAGGGACCGAATGCTTGAAAAACTTCAACCAATCAAAATCGCTTAGCGTTCATATTGGCTAAATGCCTTTCTCACAAAATCGAAGTCAATATTAACAGAAAATGTTTTAAATCAGTGGAAAAAATCAAAAATATTACAAATTGCGGGTTACAACCGCAATACTATTCAGATAAACATCAAGATTTATGAGTTCAAAATCATAAGAATTTTTACAATCTTGAAAACTCATCTGCTTATCATCTAATCGGTCAATATTAACACTAATGGCCTGGATTTATTTTCTTACTTTGAGATTTTCTCGATTTACTTTGAGATTTTGAATACTCAATTCTGATTGGCTGAAAAATAAGCTAAAAATAATTTCAAGCATTCGGTCCCTCAAGCATGAGGGACGCCACCCTAAACTTTGATAATAAAAACGAATTTTTATGAGAACTTTTAACATTGACCATCGATATTCAAGTGAGTGTGGGTTACGAAAACAATTATCTGAAACTAATTGTTTGCTTTCATTTTCTATCAATACAAAAGCTCGACGGAAATCCAGACATGGTTGGCCAGAACATGTATGGGCATAAGTTTGACACTCGCTAAAACACTTGATTTTTTATCAAAAGAACTGTAATGCTGACTATTGGAACCTGATCTAAACTACATTTTATGATTGGATAAATTAGATATTTTACCACTGTAAAGTATTTAATATTAACCAATCATGATCCATCTAACTAACAACCCACTTATTTGTAAGTGCTGAAATTACTTGTAATTTCAGCACCAGAGAGATTTGAATTTAACTTAGAATTTAGTTGCCTCTCCTAAGGAACTTCAGCAGCCGCAATAAACCAGTATACCCTAGATCTATTGAGCCTAGCAGAGACTAGTTAAACAAAAAATAAGATAGCGTGCCGAAAATAAGATAGCGTGACGAGCAGACGGTGTACCCTATCCGAAATTACTCTATGAGTTAACCACATCGGTCATAACTCACTATTTGTATCGCGGACCATAATACTCCAGTACAGAGTGAAGATTCAGTGTTTGATCAAAACCCATAGTCGAAATAGCATAAAGATAGTGTAGAGTTTCTAAAACCCAGAGTCAAGTTTCAGTCAAACAAAGTTGTAAATATGTGTTGCGCAGCATAACTCCAACACCTACGTCGAACAAATTCTGATATGTTTTGAACATTATGAAACCAAAATGTATAGTGGTAAACCATATTATATATTCTTCAAGAATATGTATGCTTATCCCAGATGAATTATCGATATTTTGATATTGATTCTAAGAATACACATCGGCTTAAAAAAAGTTACTTGAATTTTAGTGCATCAAAAATAATTAAATTATTTTTTATTATATAACTTCACTTCTACGAAAACGCGAAAGCAAAAAAGTTATGTGATTAACTTATTGTTGTCATTAACTTTTTGAACAATTTCAGAGAAAAACGATGAAAACCGAACTGAAAGATTGCTCAACCGCAGAGATGCCACTGCTGAAGTATCATGATCAAACACCTGCCTGCTTCAATCCTTCAACCAAAAGATCGTTTATCGAATAGATACCTTGTGGGCAAAAACGGAAACAACAAAAAAAATGTAGATTTTGCTGATGCACTAGAGGCACAAACTGTTGAAAACGACATATCCAATGCTTTGAAACTGCCATCAAAAGCAACCAGAGATAAACCGCTGGTAGTTCGATTTGCCAAGTGTATAAAAATATTCATCAG